GCAAAATACCTTTAATGACTATGATGGCAACTTTGTGAATGAACTGGAATCTCATCAGGATCATCATGCAGCTAAGTCAGCAGCGAGTTTTGAACAAGTCCACATTAGCGATCTTACGAAGAAAAATAACTTATGTGAACCAGATGATGCCTCTGAGAATCCATTCTATACAAACAGCGCAGATCGATCTGCAGTAGACGGGAGGCATTTCGCTGAGAAAAATACTGCAGGTGACCATGAGATGGAAACCCATCGGGCTAATAATGCCTCCACAGGACCTCAATCATCAGGTTCTCCTTCATACGACACTATCAAGGCAGATTCTAACTCTTCACTTCCCAATTATGAAACACTAGATGACAAATCATCTACTAGTCTCCGGGTTAGGAATTTACCTTCGATGGAAGATGATTTATATTCTTCGTACCCCAATCTATTTACCTTTCCGAACTCAAATAAGGGACCTCAGACTGGTTCAGATGCTCATCATTCCAATTCATGACCTGTGACGCAGAGTTTTGGCTTCAAATTCTTACACTACATGCTGTGGCTTCCTCTGCATCAGTGAACGCTCATCGAGCATTCAGTTGCTGCGGTTTAGAATCCTTTTTCCCCTTTCGGGACACCAAAGTTGTTTGATGGTGGTTAAGGCTACAACAAATGCAAAGAACCAACATTGTATAGGAAATAAGGAATTTCAAATTCCGTAGTTTCATGGGCAGCGCATGATCTTTGCTTTTCTTCTGGTAAAAGATAGACGGAGAATGCTAAATGGGTAAGTATTTACAAGTTCTTGTGTAAGTATTGTAATCTTGTAGATTGGGGATTTCCAGTTGTATCATTTTACTGGTAATTCTGGACATCTTTGAAGACATGTTTCTATATTTAAATTTCGGCCAAAACAAAAGTTCTATATAAAAAAATCCTTTAGAAGCGCATGCAAATGTCAAAAATGCAATCTCTATTGCCTGATTTGAGAGTTGTAGTTAAAAATTTAAAAATTAATATGAAACTGAGAGTTTCTTTATGCACATAGAACAGACTTTTTTAATACACATAAAACTGAGACTTTTTCAAACACTGTAAATAGAAAAATGTCAAACTACGCATAATTTAACATAAAGCTTTCTTTAAAATTGAATATCGCGATCTACCTTAAAAAAAAAAATTCCACAAGAACAAATAGAAATAGAATCCCCTTGTGGCTTTTGCGGGTGTACATTCCCCTTCTCGCTACGTTCTCCATTTCCTTTTCGGCAAATTAATCAAGGGAAAATGACATTAAAATACCACTTGAATTCCAAAAAGACACATAAGGGACCTGAATAAGCAAAATGACAAAGAAGGCATCAGGTACCAATCTGGAATTTTGATTTTTGGCCTAAAGACTGAATTGCCCTTATTGTGTTCGCCTCCTCCCAGTGAAAGCAATTCCCCCCACTCGGCAAAAGAGAAACTGCTCCCACTTGGCGAAACCAATCCATCCCCTCGGTGAAACTAATCCCTCCCCTCAGTGAAACCGAATCCCTCTACTCGATGAAACCAATCCCTCCACTCCACGAAACCGAACCCCCTCCAGTTGACGAAACTAAATCCTTCGCATCACCATTCTGTAGAGATTGTTGATTTGGTGGGTTTTGGTTGTGGGAAAGAGGATTTGTAGTGAGAGAGGGAGTGAACCGAAGCGGAAAGATGAAGCGGAAATCAGAAAACTGGCAAGCAATTACGTAACGTAACTGCTGTCATATGCCTGCTGGTTTTCGATAAATCCCATTACGTGAATGGTAAATTTCACTATACATGTAGTTAATTATGAATTTTACAAAATACATATTGTGATTTATAACTTTTGTAGTGAAAGTGACTACTTTGTTAATGGGTTTTGCAACCTGTTTTCAGGAGATAAACAACTTGTTTGTAAAAACTAATAAAAGTGACAACTTTTGTAGTCACGTTGAATTAACTGGTTGCAAAAGCCATTTAAGAAGTGGTCATTTTCACTATAAAAGTTGTAAATATCACTGTGTGTTTTGTAAAATTCAGCGTCAAATTTTATTGATTTTTAGAAACAAGTTGCTCATCCCCTGAAAAGAGGTTGCAAAACTCATTTAAGAAGTGGTCATTTTCACTATAAAAGTTGTAAATATCACTGTGTGTTTTGTAAAATTCAGCGTCAAATTTTATTGATTTTTAGAAACAAGTTGCTCATCCCCTGAAAAGAGGTTGCAAAACTCATTTAAGAAGTGGTAATTTTCACTACAAAAGTTGTAAATATCACTGTGTGTTTTGTAAAATTCAGCATAGAATTTTATTGATTTTTAGAAACAAGTTGCTCATCCCCTGAAAAGAGGTTGCAAAACTCATTTAAGAAATGGTAATTTTCACTACGAAAGTTGTAAATCTCACTATGTGTTTTGTCAAATTTAGTAGGAAATTTTATTAGTTTTTAGAAACAAGCTGCCCATCCCCTGAAAACAAGTTACAAAACCCATTGAATAAGTGGTCATTTTTACTACGGAAGTTGTAAATCCCACTATACGTTTTGTCAAATTTAGCGTGAAATTTTATTAGTTTTTACAAACAAGTTGTTTATCTCCTGAAAACAGGTTGCAAAACCCATTAACAAAGTAGTCACTTTCACTACAAAAGTTGTAAATCACAATATGTATTTTGTAAAATTCATAATTAACTACATGTATAGTGAAATTTACCATTCACGTAATGGGATTTACCAAAAACCAGCAGGCATATGACAGCAGTTACGTTACGTAATTGCTTGCTGATTTCCGCTTCGGTTCACTCCCTCTCTCACTACAAATCCTCTTTCCCACAACCAAAATCAACAATCTCTACAGAATGATGATGCGAAGGAGTAAGATAATAGCATTTCTAACATTCTTCTTTCCTTCTTCCCGCATTTCATCAGCGTCGGTCTTCCTCTCTCCTTTCTCTCACTGCATCGGTCTTCCTCTCTCCTTTCTCTCACTTTCAGCTTTCGGTCTTCCCGCATTCATCAGGGCATTTTGGTCTTTTGGCCGAAAATATGAATTCCAGGTTGGTACCCAGTGCCTTATTTGTCATTTTGCTTATTCAGGTCCCTTATCTGTCTTTTTAGAATTTAAGTGGTATTTTATTGTCATTTTCCCATTAATCAAAGTCGTTTGAAAATAAAACTTCTTTTCACATATTTATTTTATATTTTATAAATTATGGTTAAAAAATTACTTATAAATCATTCTAAAAGAACTTTATTTTTTGATAATTATCTTATAAATTATGATTAAAAAATTATTTATAAATTATTTAAAAAGCCCATTCTCTCATTTCCTACTTGGAGGAACTACAAAAGACTGTCACATCCTGTCAGCACTACGACCTGCTCAGTAACGAATAACGATGACCATATGTGTTGTCCTATACTTCCATGCTAATCTTAATCGATGACATGGTAGAGCCGGGAAAACGGGCCGAGCCCGTTTAAGCCCGTTTAAGTCGAGGGCCGAGCTTGTATTTTGGAGTCTTGAAAGGGAAGTCGGGCTTAAAAGGGCCAGCCCTGTAGGGCTGAAAAATAAACGGGCCGGCCCGTTTAGGCCCGTCAAATTTTTTTTTAATTTCTGTCTTTTTTTCTCAACTTAAAAAAGAAAACCCTAACATTTTAAACATATCATACTCTTAGTTTTACTTATCTTGGCAGCTCACATAGATAGCATTCACAAAAAAAAAAAAAAAAGAATCACTATAGTTGTGCAAAAAATAACCAAAAAAAAATGAAAATTACAAAATTTAAAACTAGGTATATTCACAAAAATATATTGTTAAATAAGTTGTCAAAACCTATTAAAATACTGTATGTGTAATTTTTACAGTCTTTATTTGTCATTCTCCCATATTTTTTATACTTGAAATATAATTGATCAAAAAATCTTTTAAACTAAAATAAAGATTTATATCATTTTTATAGTAGAAACAAATTTAGAACTAAGGATGATGGACTCTTTTCTTTTTTATCGATATGACAAATGATTATTCTTCATGTATACTATGTTTGTTAGTTAAACTTTTTTGTTAATTATTTATAATCAAACTAGATCATCCGCATTGTAATTATCTACTGAACTTAGTGCTTATTTAGTTGTTTATGTGTGTCCTCTATTTAGTTTGTTTATTCAATAGACTTTATTATACTGTAATATATGTTTAAACATGATAATGTTTATATTTGTGACTCAATTTTATTTATATTTATACCTTTTATTAGTAATTTTATTGTTTCATTTTTATTATTTTGATAAAATATACAAAAAAAATAAAAAAAATTTCATTTTAGTTAAAAAGGCCAAAAGCCCGCGGGCTAGCCCGAGCCCGTCATCTCACGGGCCGGGCTTGAAAAAATGACTTATTTCTGGAACTCGGACTTAAACGGGCCGGCCCGTTTAAGCCCGACCCTACAGAGCCGGGCCGGCCCGTTTAAGCCCGACCCTACAGGGCCGGGCCGGCCCGTTTTCTCAGTACTTGGAATCATCCTCTTCTTTCCCCTATTTCTCGCCAGCCCTTGGAATAACGATAAATAGCACCATTCGAGACGTCATTAACCCACACTGATAAATTCCACTAAATAATAAAATAAAATATAAAAAAAAATATAAATTTCACTAAATGATAAAAAAAATTAAGATGTATTTAACATCCCAAAATATTTGTTCAGATACATCCAGCATCCTGAAATATTTTTTAAATGCGTTTAGCACCATGAAGTATTTGTTTGCCTTGACACTAGATACATCAAAAATATTTTTAAATGCTAGGCACATCTAAAAAAAATTAAAATACTGAATACACCAAAAAATACTTCATAGTGCTTAACGCACTTAAAAAAATATTTTAAAATATTAGATACACTACAAAATACTTTATGATGCTGAATGCACTAATAAAAATATTTCGGGTACTGCATGCGCCTTAATTGAATATAGAATTGTGGATCGAGCAAGTCTACAAAATTCAAGATGAAGTTGTCATTGTTTCATTTGATGTAAACATCATTGTCAAACTGCAGATGATACAGATGGCAACTCATGATAAAGCTAACCCCTATGCACAAATGTAAATGAATACAATGCACTGGACTTACAAGAGGCATAATCAGGATGTGATACTCAAAAGGAACCAAAGGGAGGGTCGAAGGTAAAAAAAGAGAGCTTCTATGGTTAAAAGAAGGGAAAAAAAAGAAAAGAAAAGGGGATAAATAATGCTTTCTTTCTTTACTTTTCTACTGTGCTAATGTCACCTTGGACCAGAGAGCTCAACTGCATGTAGATTTTCTGTTGAGTCAACAAGCCAATCAGAACCAGGATGAGGGGCTAGCTCCACTTCCTGGCGGTACACTTCCACCTTTTGCCACTCATCCCATCGTTCTGCCAAGCCATCACCTTCAAGCATTCTCACGACTTCTGACATCTTAGGCCGGTCCAAAGGGGAACCTTGCGTGCACAGCAGTGCAACCTGAATTAGCTGTTCGACCTCAGCTTCAACGTAATTGTTTTGTAGATCAGGATCAACCAGCATTTCCAGCTTCTTCTCTTTCAGAAGCCCTTTGACCTAAGAACATATTCAAGAGTATGAGATTTGGAGGTGAAATGCCAAAAGGAAGCTTTAGGCAAGCATAGAAATTGGGCACAGCCACTCAGCCAAAACCGCGATGAAAAGACTGAAATAACACGGGTGCGAACTGCAAACTGACATATGGACTTTTACACAACTCATCACCAAATTACTTTCTGCTTTAAAAAAAAGAATAAAAGAAAGGGTTCCTCCATATGCCAGCCATCATTGGGTATAGCAAAAAAATAATAATAATAATAAAAAAAGGTACTCCCTCAGGTCCTTAATATAAGATTTTACAAACTAAATCTTATATTAAGAACTAGAGGTAGTGCATTTTACAAGTTATTGCAGGACGTAGTCACATAGAATTAAACAGCAAAGGTAGATTGCGGTTGAACAAGAGGATACACTTTTATGGTAAACATACCCAATCAAGCAACATAACATCATCATCATTTGCAAGCCGGGCAAGGTCGAAGGCTCTTTGTCCAGTAATCAACTCCAAAAGCATGATGCCATACCCAAAAACATCAGTTTTCTCAGAAGATTTCCCAGTAGAAAGGTACTCTGGAGCTATATGCCCAATTGTGCCCCGAACAGCAGTTGTGACATGGGTATCCTTGTAGTCCATAAGTTTTGCCAGCCCAAAGTCGCCAACAACAGCCTCAAACTCCTCATCCAACAATATGTTCGCAGCTTTCACATCCCGATGGATAATCTTGGGATCACAATGATCGTGCAAATAGGAAAGACCCCTGGCAGAACCCAATGCTATTCGCTTCCTTGTTGGCCAGTCCAGGGGAGGTTGATGTGCTGGGCGCTCTGGAGTAATGCAAATACGAAATCACAAGGCGAATAGAAAAAAACTAGGGAAAGCATCTCATCTATGAGGATCAAAAACCAATTATATGCTGAAAAATGATAGGCAGGCTAACCCTGAATCATGATAATTCAAATTTAAAAAAATCATTGAATATATTCAATTTAAAACGGACATGGAAGCAGAAAGCAGAGGCATCCATAAATAATGAGGGGAATAGTAATTCTAACATTGCCGTCCTCTCCCCAACCATTATAGATAAAGGAGATGCTAACCTCACTTTGTTGTACAGGTTAGCATCATCTGCGTCCTTCCATTGGACCAAAAGACAATTTTAGAAAACACAAATGCAATGTCATGTAATCAAAGCTAATAGCATTGCCATTAGAAGGTAAAATGCGCTTGCATTAATCATGCCTTGGTACATTCTATTCAATGATTAACAACCAATCAAGCATACTGACTTTAAAAATATAGGTAAACAATGCCAAACATCTACCTCTTAAGCATGACGCAACACTCCCATTAGCCATGTATGGATAAACAAGCAGCCTTTCAGTTGGTGTCATACAGAATCCTCGCAAACGAAGAAGATTTCGATGTACAGCCATGCTGATCATCTCTACTTCAGTCTGAAATTGAAGCTCCCCACCAGGTGTCCGCTCCTCTTTCAGTCTTTTCACAGCAACTAATGAACCATCAGCCAGGCGTCCCTTGTATACTTTACCAAATCCACCCCTTCCCAGAATGTTCTTATTGCTAAAACTATCTGTTGCAACTTGCAGTTCTCTGAGTGAGAACCTTTTGAGCTGCCCAAGATGAACTTCAGGATCCTCTTCAGCTGCAAATATACTTCAAGTCAGAATCTATCTTACCAGCTTGGTCCAACAAATCTAGTACTCATTCAGATGGGAATGCTAACCAGGCACATCAAAGAAAAATTCTTGTGGTTTCCTCCGACTCCACCATGCAAATGCAATGGCAGGAGCAGCAAATAGCAAAGCAGCACCAGCAGCAACTCCTCCAGCAATTGCCCCAGTGGCACTATTACCTCCTGTGATTGGTTATTCAGAAGAGCAATTGCAACAGAGAAATTGCCAAACTTGAAAAGAAAAGTGCCATCTAAATTCTGAGATTGACATCAGAAACAGCAGAAAGATTACCCGGGGCAGAAATTGGGGTTGGTGGGACAAAAGGGGGCGGAGGAGAAAATGGAGGAGAACCAGGACAAGGGTGCCCAGTGACTGGCCCACAAAGACCCATGTTGTTAGCAAAACTGTAGAAAGCAAAGAAACACAATCAGAAAACATTGCAACCAGGATTAGTGCAGGTAAGAGTAGCACTTGTCTCAGTGAGAAACCTGATAGGAGTGAATAATGAGAAGGAACCATTATCCGGAACCACTCCAGAGAGACGGTTGTTAGATAAATCCCTGCAATTTCATGTTAAATAAATTGAGAACAAAATAGAAGCGGGGCACATGCAATTTAAATTAAAGTCATGAAGTAGCAACATATGTTAAAGTAAACTAGCACTCACAGCACTTGGAGAGATGAAATATTGGTCAATGTCATGGGAATGGGACCTGACAGGCTGTTGTTATTAAGCCGGCTATCCTTAGACAGACATACCAATGAAACAGCATTAAAATCTATATTGATAGCCAAGAAAAAAAAAAAAAGACGTGCAAATTGACAGGCACAGGCATGGTATTATTGAACAAATAAATGAAGGCAAGTCTCACCAAACAAAATGAAGAAGGTAAAGTGATTTTGGACAAGGGGAAAGAAGTTACAAATGTCCCTTCCATATTTAAGCTAGTGTGCCCAATCCAAATTTAAATAGATCATTAGAAAAGGACATGAAGCTCTCGTTTATAGTAAATAGTTATTTTTCTATCAGGATGGTCCAATAAATTCCTTTTGTTTGGTTCCAACTTCAAAGTGTAAATGCTAAAAAGCACATTTGAAGGTTTATGTATTTGGCATCGGCAACATAGTACACAGAATTTTGCATCAAATGAGATTTTCTTTGGGTAAAATTGAAAGTTAATTTCTAATTAGTACATTTTTTGGTGAAATAATTCTTATATATTTTTTCTTATAACTCTTTACAATTGTTTTTTATCCCTGCATCAGCTAATCAACCCTTCACAGCATATATATTTAAAAAAAATTGCAACAAAAAAAAAAGGTTAATGCCAACAATAACTACACTTACAGGAATCGCAACTTTGACAACTTGCCCAAAGAATCTGGGATAGGACCAGTGAAACTGTTTAAGTACAGATCCAAGCTCACCAAGCTAGTAAGATTCCCCAAGTCACTTGGAATTGGGCCAGTTATATTATTGCTGTAGAGTTCCCTGTTATTAAACTCAAATTAATATGTATATCAAATAAATATGTTAATATCAGATATCAAGATCGATATTTATTTTAATTAATTAATATATGTGTTAAATGGTGTTCTGTAAGCCTTTTATTTCCAGGTCTTGCGCTTATGACATTAAGCCATTAATGGGTTTTGCTTCAACATCCAATTGTTCCTTACAGGTGTAATAATTTATCTCTCAACCCATATAAGATTAGGACTAACACCCAATTCTAATAGGGTACGTTACATGAGGTTCTTAAACAGCAGGCATGATAAACCCCCTGTTTGAGCGAGTAGAAATCGTAATCTTCAATACGCTCCACCATAAACCCCATGCTTTCATACAACACAAGCCCATAACTCAAGATCAATAATAAGAGAATGATGTCTGCATTAGAGTATAATGTGCAGCTGACCAAACAAAGGATGCAGCAGAACGAGAACAACTCTATCAACTTATAAATTGGGCCTTCCTACTCTCATCAATCACACACCAAAGGACATTTCTCATAAATCATAATTTCCTCAACCAACGGGGATGTTAATTCAAGGGCAAAAGATAACACATCATAGTAAAACATGAAAAGGTCCACTTTTCAACGATTAGAGCCTTTATGAGCTTCAAAAAACCCATAGAAAAGTTGTACTCACAATTGTAGAAACCAGCCCAAAGAAGGGGCAATTAGAGAAATCAGCACTATTCTCTCTGTTTTTTTTTTGGGGGGGGGGGGGGGACCAGTACCATTTGCGAGTTGCAAAAGAGGGATCAGGAACATTCTCCAAACCCGTCTAGCCACCACCTTTCTTACTCAGGGGAAATATATATATATATATCGTACATCATACTCAAGCCCCAAAACTCAAATCTATAGAAACGGGATGAAGAAAGCCCCATTACTTGAGATGGTCTTTATTTTGAAGCCTATTTGTCCCCACCTCATTGCCTCAAGACAACACAAAATTAATGACAAAATGACGAGGCTCAAGAAGATTGAAACATCAAAAGATAAGGGCGTAACATACAAGTACTGCAAATTCTTGAGCTGGCCAAGTTGTGGAACAAGTTGACCAGATAAATCAGCATTTCCTAGATCCCTGACATTAGAAATAGCAAAGATGGGGAGGGGGAGAACAGAAAAGGCAGTGTTAGAAAAGCTATGAGAATAAATTGTATGAGAATTTGCATATGAAATAAGCATCTATATGTGATAAATATTTAGAAGCAGACAGCTTACACTCTTATTACACTATTATCATTGTTGCATGTTACATGAAACCATGTGCAAGGATTGACAAGCGTAGGGTCCCAACTTTGTAAAACATTGTTAGGGTCCTGTAAATTTGTCCTTAGGCTGTGTAAAGCGTCACCTGCACACAGATGTGAAATTAAACAATCAGGTGGGGTAAAAATCATGATACAACTCAGTGTCAATACAACATAGACATCTTCGATTACTAGGATGCAAGATGATAGGAGTAGAATATAACACTATGATTTACATGTATCAAAGCCACATTTGTTAGAAATTGCAAGTAATAAACACATAGCAGCATGTTGAATAACTCATTCAAGCACAAAAATAAGTTGTCCAGTGGCTGAACTACATGAGACAGGTCGCTAAGATCTTTTCTCATCTAACCTATTAGAAATGTTAACCCCAAAAAAATTCTATTGCAATAAGTAGCCCTGGTATAGTGAGACATCGCGCATGACAGAACTAAATTGAATCGGGAATATCTCAAAAACGCAATTGAACGACCAACATTGTTACTATTCCATGTGTGACCCATTCATTGCCGATTTCGCAGTGCGCAAAGAAAGACAATACTCAGAACATTTAAGACAGACTAGGCAGAAATGCATTGTCTTCATCAAATGTTTTTACAGACAACACCATCTATTGCAATGGAAACCTTACGTCACTTCTCAGAGATGGGATATCTTTCAGGATTCCTTGAGCTAAGAGATCACTACAAGTTATCCGTTCTAAATTTTATTCTATAACGCTCGGTAAAGAAAATTGAGAAGTTCAAAGAAGTACCAAAAGTTAAGAATTACAATAAGAAATATTGCTTCTAGCTAGCGTAAGTCCTGCGGATGGATCCAGATGCCCGAGGGAAAGGGCCTCATTTGCCCAAATAATCACAATCAAAGAAGTAACAAGCAAATGCTCGAACAAATTTTAAGAAAGAGCATTTTATTTTACAGCAATGACGAAAAACAATAGCATGTCACACGTGAATGAGATAAAAGCCAGCAACTTCTGACAAACCTTCCGTGTTTGCAGAAATCAACCACAATGGATGAAATAGCAAGACCCACCAGATGAAAGCAGAAGCCCAGGCCTTCCTATCCATTTAAGTGAGTAGCCAGAAATCAATGATCCAAATAATATCTGACACCCCAGTACCCGGTCACAATCCCCTTCTCTTCCCCCAACCCAACCAAGATTGTCCAAAACCCTAGCTCCCAAATCTCATATGAAACTCCCTCAAGTTTCCACCATTACCACGCAGAAGCATCCCCGCCACAGCATCAGAACCAAACGCCAATATCAACAAAATCAAGCTCTAGTGAGTTAACACAGGTAGCCAAACATGGAACTCTTTTCAAGAAAATATCCACAGCATTTCTTCACTTTTCCTTGAGTAAAAAACTTTAACTTCTCACTTCTTCGCAGGCTTAAGAACACAAACACTCTTTTCTCAGCCAGTCTGAGTCAGGCAGTGTGAGATTGTTATCTTCTTTTGAGTGAGGCGTGCACAGGCAGTGGAGAGAGAGAGTGACCGGGTGTGGGTGAGAGAGAGGCTGAGAGAGACAGGGAGAGGGGAGGAAGCTGCCCCAACGGTGCTGACCGCTGCCCGAAGCCAGTCAAAACGCCTTCGCGCTATAACGTGGATAGTGACGTGACTCTTCTTCAGGAAAAGGGCCAAACCAAAACTCCGTTTCTCGGGTCAAAATGGAAGGGGGCTCTGCTGGGTCCCATGCCTCCTGATTGCCACATAAGATGCTTCCAATATTTATTTAATGCATTAATAAATGAATGATGATCATTATTATTATTATTATTATTATGGGCACTACTGCCTTTTGGGAGTGGTATTTATTTCGTGAACAGAAGATGATAATATATGAGAATATTGTTGGGTTCGCCACATTTAGTGATTTTGCTATGATGGGGCATTTATAGTTATAGAGCCCTTGGTTTAATAAAGGAGCTCATTTTGTTTGTCAAAATCGATTAGTTGCTGGTTTGGTATAAGCAAGCATAATTTCTTTTAGGTAAACTTCAATTTTTATATGTTTGGCAAGAAATTAGGTGTTTCTTGAAATTGAGGCTGCATGCCAATGACTTCACGAATTTGGATAAACCATTTTGAATTGAACCACCACTTTGTTTTCTTTCGCATTTATGGTTCAAAATGTAATTGCCCTGCAAATCATTAATTTGAAAAATACTTTTCTAATTCCATTCATGGGGCATATAGAAATTATTTTCATTTTTGACATAATTTATTTCATTAAATTTATTATATACAAGTATAATTTTACTTCTAATTTATTATTTTTATTATTTTAGACTTCTCATTAAAAATACATATATTAAATAGGGACAAAGCTAAAAAAAAGTTATTAAATTTTAGCGTACGTTAATGTTATTATTATTCCTGAAAATTTGATTTAATTTTGTTTGTAATCTTTCTAATTTCAAATCATTGATTTTAACCCATCTGGTTTGGTAAAGACTTAATTTGAGTTTAAATAAATGAAAACAAATCAAAACTTATCAAAAGTATAAGAACCATCTATTAAACTCAAACAAAAAGAACTGTGAAACTATAAAAACTAAAACTAATAATTTGAAACTATAAAAATTAAAAAGTGACAATAATATTAACTCTAAATTTTAAGATAGTATTAGTGAGATATATTTTGTGCCATGTCATCCCTTCGCTTCTTTTAGTTTTATCCAAAGGTCCAAAAAAGAAATAAAAAATTAATGATATCAAATTATATCTACGTAGCTTTGTCATTTGGAAAAATAATGATTAACAATTTGACTGTGGAGTAAAACCAGGAAATTAAGTCAAAGCCTCGAAGGCATGCTTGAGTAATATATTGCACTCATTATTACCGCAAGTATTTTTGTACAGCTTATATGCCCTTTATAAAAAGGCTTGATCATTAAAGTTCATCTTTTAGTTTTACCTCTCCACTACAAAATCACGACGCTTTGGAGATTCATCTAAAATACTAAAAGCAAGCTTGCCACCCATAAAAACTTTGATCACGAGAGTTTATAATGTAAATACTCATGATATAATTATAAAAAAAATGTTTTTATTTTTTTAATTTAATACGAAACAATTAGAACTTATTAGTCTTAATTTTTTATTCGCAATCACAACATCACACCACATCTTTAATTTCTTAAAATAAAAATGAATTTGTATTCTCATTTTTTAAACTTATTCTTATTAGATAACTTTGAATCATCTCAATTAATTTCCTGCATAATATAGCCTAATACAGTGGGTTGCAAGAGCAAGCAATTCGGTTGCACTCTTACCGTCTCTTATCAAAATTAAATCTATAAATATCATATAATCTTTAAAAGTGCTAACGAGCACAAGTAATTCCATTTTTTCTTGCAAAGAAAAACTTATGGGGAGAAAGTTCTTGGCCATTGCAAAATGTGTTACATCCTCCCTAGCCAAATAACTGTCTTATTTAATTCTAATAAGACGAACCACAAAACGAAAGACATGAAAATTTGTAGTAAATTAGTTTATACCTCCGGTCATAACTATAAAAATTAGTTGGCAGTTTTAAATATAATACTACAATCTACGTTCTCTTCTAAATTTATAATGTGTTGTTAAAAATATCCCTATTGATTTTAAGGTACTTTCACCTAAATGTAATTTCAATATACGTGATTGAATAATGGTAATTTAAGAAAGTCAACACATATTTATCACAAATAACTAAATTAACTATAATTTTCTTAATCTTCCCAAATTAGTTATCTAGCTCTTATATTAAGGAGTGTGAGTAGTAGTATATAACTTTTAATGCATAAGATGCGTAAATTAGACTGTATTAATGAATAATGAATTATGCATCAAGGACAGATTCACATCCCAAGTGGGTCTTCATGGCAAGGTATAATTAAAGGCGTCATTCTTTCATGAAAACATGAATTAAAGAATATGGTATTGTAAAAGTACGACGTCCATTAAAAATATATATTAGCAAGTTGACATATACTTTAAACTTTTTTAACCAGGAGAAAATTCAGCATTAACATCGCTTTTTCATAGATGAACACCCGAATTAAAGATGGTATTATTATTATTGAAACAAAAGAAGGGTCAATTCAAAACTGAATAAAAATTATACGATTCTTAATTTCTTATTTTAATCCAAATGATTCGGCATTATTAGCTTCTTTAACACCTACTTTTTCTTCCGTTTAATTTCCAAACGGAAGAATTCTCTGTGTGAATTTTAATCAACACATCAATACAATTTATATAACAAGTTATGATGAATAATACAAATTATTCTTAAAATTTCATGCGATTGAAGGGGCAAAAAAAAAAAAAAAGGGCCATGTATGGTTGCCAGATAAAGCCTAAAATTAAGCAGGGGATGATGATATGTGATATTGGGTTAGTGTGGAAGAAGTTTCAATTTGTGGTGAGTCAAATTAGCGGAAAGTTAGGGCATGTAACACTGTACACTTTAATTATTTTCACCTTATCCTATCTAAATGTTGTTGACTATTATTTGTGGCTTATAAACAAGTTTCTTACGTGAAGCCTTGCTTTTATGCGTATAGCTGAGTTTTTTTTTTTTTTTTTAAAAAAGTGTCATGAAAATTGAAATGATATTTCATATGGCAAAATGAGCTTTTTAGGGGTAAAGATTAAACAAAGAGGTCAAAGTGGGGTCACTCGTCACTGCACCTAATTATAAAGCATCAATGACTACTCACTCGCATCAAAATGCATTCACTTTCTCCATTATTCAATTATATGTTTTTATAAATTTGAGTTATATTTGATATAAAAACTAATTTGATTTCTGATTCGATCCTAAATATAAAATCTCAATCCATTTTTTTTATCTGATATTTATTTATTTATTTTCTTCTAAGATAATTTTTGTAGCAGTTACACGTGTTGAATGTTCTATTAAATGTTAAAACTAATACATTTAATCAATAATGGCATTTTAAGAGAGACAACACCTATTTATTACAAATAGCTAACTTAACAAAATTTCTTAATATACTCAAATTATTTAATTAATTTTTATATTAAGAATCAGATGTAGTACATGTTAAATTTGAAAATAAAACTCATTTGAAGGAGGATGAAATTTTTTAAAAGAAATTCCGAATCCGGTTGGCAAATTTAACAATTCCTTGATTCGTCCACTAATTGAATTGATGTTTGAGAATATTAGGTATTATACCACACCACACCACTCCACTCCTCACCTTTTTCTTTTTTCCATCCCAAAAGTCATTTCTCGTTTTTCTTTCAAAGCCATTTTCATTAACAACCAGTCACCACCCCCTATCAACAGTTGGAGCTCTGTTGACGGCGACGGTTTTATTGTCATAATTTTGTTTTGTTGTGAATAATTAACAGGGATTTATAAATTGTTAGACCGAACCTGTTAACTTACAATCTTGTTAAGCAACAGTTATTTCCACAACAAAGTAGTTATTTACCGCAATCATTTAGGAATTGGCATGAATAAATTAACTATTTAATTTGAACATTATTTACATAATTTGTGTATTTACATTTTAAAAGATAGTAGATAAATAAAAAAGAAAAGAAAAGAAATTTGTTGAGACAGCACAAATGGTGCCTCCAGGTTTAGGAGGCAAGGATTGAATTGATAATGCTGAAAAGGACACATTCTCACTTGTTTGTGCCCAAAACCATCCAAATGTACAAACCCATTCAATTTGGACGTATATAGATACTTGATTTGTGACTTGGGAGAGAGCTACTTTCCCACGTGTGTATTTTCTAAAATATTTTTCTTGGACATTAAAAAAAAAAGAAGGAAAACTTAACAATCATCAAATATTGGTGGGGGGCCCCACCGTCCATTGAAAAAGTGAATCGCCTTTCTCCATTTCAGGTGGGGCCAACCCCCCATGTCTTGTTCATACCTGCCCACTTTGGTATACTGGGCATGTGAAATCTACCGACGACGATAAAGTGATATAAATATGTAAAAATAATTTTATTTGAGAGTTTTTCAAACAAGCACTGAAAAATTAATCAACTTAATCAGAAGTCTCAAATTTAAACCAAAACATGTAAGTGTTATATATTTGATGGTAGAATATGCTGCATGAAAGGATCCTACCTAATTTAAGTGAATAGGAATAAATCATTTCTCCAAAGCAGAGTCACAAAGTTTGCCGTGTCAAGAACTACTCGTAATTCATTTTAAGATAGAGTATCAACAAGCTTTGGGCTAACATATTGCATTAAGTTCAATTAGCATATAAGCCAGTTAACTAATTTGAAGAGATTAAGGAAGTAAGTTCAGTTAGTTATTTGTCATAAATAGGTGTTGTTTTTTTTAAAATATCCCTGCTAATCAAGTATATTGACTAGAACTTTTATTTGAAAAATATATATATATAAATATGAGAGACAAAGTAGATTGGGGTCTTATATTTAGAACCAAAATAAAAGTCAAATAAGATCTCATATTAAGGACCGGAGGTAGTATATTGCTTAACTTTAGCACGTTATTTTTAGGTATTATGACTTAATCTTGTTACTTTTAGTATTTTAATGCATCTTGATCCTCATAAAAAGAAAGAATATGAATAAATCGTTGTGAGAATAAAAGAATTAGTTGGTTTACAAAAATGATTTAAATTTTAAAAATTATTTTTCTTCCTATCCTATCACATTATATGCTTAATTTATGCCTTCATAAATCCTCCAGTTAAAAGTGAAATAAGCCAAGAATAAATATTTATCGAATCATAATATTTACAAGCCTTGAATGCATGGGTTCTTCCAAGTTCTGTGCAATTTTCTTTACTCTTTCAGTATGTCTCCACATATTTTATTGTCTTCTATATGAATTTTTTTTAAATTTTGTCAAGGATAAAAAAATGTTACTCTACCATCTAATTCATACATCAATGGTTTGGTAGTATATTTCTGGTCAAAAAAAAGAAAAGAAAAAGGCAGCATATTTATTTCCGCTAAAAATCTTCGGCCCATAAGCCCCGTCTTGCTCAGTCGTCCAATCGTGGCCCATCTCTTTTATTAAGCCCATTCAGGGCCATAACACGCGTCACTTTCTTGTAAAGACTATAACCTAGTGTTCACCACATGCATATATTTTTTTTGGATAAAATTATCAATGATATTAAGATGTAAGTAATTACCTAAACATAGACACATTAAAAAAAAAACATAAAATGACAATACACATTAGACACCTACTAATAGAAAAGATCACACAGCAAAACATGTAAACCACATACGTGCATGTATAATTATAAATGGGGAGATTAAACCTTGGTATAAAAAATGAAGTTATTTAAATATAATAATTTCTGTAACATTGAACGTGATTTGAATGCCCTATTTGCATTTGTGCATTCTTTGATTTAAAGTAGTTTAATTGCATATATTTTCATTTAGGTTTTGATTTCTGCATAATATGTGAGAAAACATATTTACTACCTCCGGTCTTAAATATAAGAGCTAGTTGACTAATTTGAAAAGATTAAAGAATTAAATTAAGTTAGTTATTTGTAATAAATAGATGTCGTCTTTCCTAAAATATCCTTATTAATCAAGTGTATTGAGTATAACTATTATCATTAGAAAAACTATTTTAAACAAAAATGAATAAATATGAGAGGCAGTGGATTGGAGTTTTATATTTAGAACTAAAATAAAAGTCAAACGAAATCTTATATTAAGAACCGGAGATAGTAATTTACAAGAAATAAAAAAGCAAACCCCAATTAGATATATCAAATATATAACGAGTCAAATTATTCATAAACAATTAATAATATTACTTATTACTCAATTAATGAATAATGATTATAGTGATGGGATCCGACTATTGCTCCCGCCTTGCTGAGCTTGCCATTCTTCAAACTTCACTTTTTAATTTGTGTCTTTCGGAATGGGTAACATATGGAAAATTTTCTCCTCTTCGTCACTACGTGAATGCCATCCCTAAGTGTTTTTTTTTTTTAATTAAAAGAACAGGCATTACTGACCTGAGATTACCTGAGATTATAAACGGGATAAAACCGACAACCTCCCATTTTTCCATTTACAGAAGAGTGTTACAGGAGAGTGTCAGGGCCTTTGGATTACAAGGCTTTCGGTATGCTTAAGTGTAATTTAGCTGCTCAACTTCATCAGACCTCTCGCGTCTGTCACAACATTATAATTATAACGATGTTGTAATTCTTCAAAACAATTTATCCCTAATTTCCATCCTTTTTTTCCCCTCCAACTATTAATTGTTTAAATCAATCTTCTACTTTCAACTAATATAAAATGTAAAAGCTCTTCTGATACACAAAAAAAATCCATACGAATGAATAGTGTTATTGCTCAAATTTCAGGTAATACCCAAGAATCAAGATCACACCCAGTTATTAGGAAAACAAAAGCACTAGAAGACCACAAGAATAAAACAAACACAGCGGATTGACTGACTTCATTCAAACAATTGGTAACACGCTTCTCAGTGGAAAATCTCTGTAATCTAAAGATTTCTAAACATCAAACCAACAGAATTGACTACTGGGCATTGAAGTTACTCTACAACGAACCGAATTCGGTCTAAGTGCTACTTTTTTAGATCTCTACAATTCCAAAGGTTGGCTTTTGTCTGCCCGCCTGATCCATGTCTTCATTTGGTAATTGGCCTGCATTAAATTCAGGCGTGATTTGTAGGGCTGTACAGCAGCCAAAAGCAACTGCTTTGAAATCAATTTCAACATTGAGATAAAGTAAAACTGAGAACGACAACTGGTACAAAAAGCTAGCACGAAGTGACCCCCATGAGATAGCAGAGCAGAACAGAACAATTGAAATAAGAAGGAAGAAATCGTACTTCATTTAAGCGATTTAAGTGAGTTTACGCCAGATTGATTTTGATGATGCATTTAAGCACTTCACTCGTGGGAAAACAAAGCCAGTCTTGGGAGGTCTTCCATCAATAAGGGAATTTTCATATATCTCCCTGCACTCTTGTATGACCTGGTTAACAAAGATAATTACATATCATAAGAACTTGAGAACCACAAAATTTCTCCTGAATAATGACCGATTGCAATTTTTCTTTTTCGACATTGTCCTATTTCTTCCAATTACAAGGTTGGGACAACTAGTCTCCTTTAAATGATAAAAACACCATGGGACCCAGAAAATAAGTTCAATATGCTGTAAAGAAGTCCGTACAAGAAATGTTCCCTCCAGAATGCACCCAAGGCTTGTAGAATGGCAAGGACTACGCTTAATAGTTGTTAGTTGATACTACGTAGATTCACCATGCATTTTCTCTTCTGATAAAAAATAAATTTCCATGAAGGCATACCTTATTATTTACATCCATAGAATTGAACACAGAATTACCGCTAAGTAATACATTCATATTCCCTGCTTTAGAAGATATTTTGAGTTCAATGTCAAGCAAAATAATCATTGAATTTTATTTACCTCCTTGGCATCCTTACGAGGAATGCCTTCTCGAAGACCAACAAGCTTCTCTACAACTTCAGCCTATAATAGCAGAGAAAACTAGTTAATCAACCGGGACTACTGGAGGTTTAAAATTTCATGAGCTCTGAGACATTTTCTTAAAAATTTAATAAATAAAATTTTTTTCTGATAGGAAAAATGGAAGAATAATATAATAAATGAGAAAATTTACTATAGCAAATTGATCATGTGTTGGTTTTTATTATATGTTTTGGTCAACCTTTTCCATATTTTAATTTTTGGTCTAATTCTGTTCTTTATTTTGAATATCTGTTGCTGGTTAATATCCCAAGATTCTAGGGCATTTAGGAGGCAGATCCTTCGTAAAAATCACAAGGATTCATTGAAGATTAATGGGCCGAAGTCATATGCTGTTTTTTCCCTTATTTTCCCGCTTTAAGAGTCTAAACTTCTGCTAATGTTTGTGTCCGTTTCCTTTCATTGTTGAATGGTTGAATCTTTTGTGGCCAACATTCTCCTATAAATTGCAATACACTGCTCAAAATAAAATGAGAAATTTCAGAGTAAAAGCCCTAGAATACTTTTATTTGCATTCATAGATTAATCAACTATAGTTGAAACCAGGATCATATCGAGGATAATAATACCGGGCAGTCTGGTTGGTGTTCAAGAATATTTGTATAGATGAGTGTGAAGGTATCCAAACTCTCTGCTGAAGCAAGTTCCCTTAAGTCGCTGAGAATCCTCAATCTGCTTTCAACTTTCTAATCCAATAGCAATGACATTACAATAAGAAGCTTCAGAATAGTATACCTAGACTAACAGCACAATTTGCACATTAAGAACGACTATATTTAGAAGCATAAGATGAAGAGCACTTACAGAAACGCTTATATATTCCCTAAAAAAATCCATGATAACCTCTTCATCTAGCCTCATCCTTTCAATTGTTTCTTCTTTAATATAGTTTTTCTGCAATCCAATGATCGGGGAGACAATGACGTCATATAGATGGTAAGTTGTTATGAAGTGCACAGTTGAAGGCCAGATATCAAAAAGATTATTAGTAATTTGAATTAGGAACCTGCGTTAGAAGATGATCAATATAAACGACCACTGTTTCCTCAAGGCAGGCTTCAACAAATCTTCTAAAAGATCTTTCTTCAATGTACCTTAAAGTAAAAGCCATAACTGGTAAAATTTCCAGAACATACTAGACATTCAACACTCAAAGAATGATGCTGCATGAACCATTAAAACTGTAAACTCCAAAGAACATCAATTGGTGATCACATAGTTCTACAGCCCCTTTTCTTTCGCAATAGTAAATTTCATTAGTTAATGGTTAGGAATGAAACCAGGTTGCTGTAATGTGTAATGAACATCTCAGGGTGAGAAATATCCTTTCCTCCCCTCCAGTTTAATGCATTACACTTCCAAGGAAACAAAGGAATACCCCTTTCCTAAACCCTTACATATATGACCCCAGTTTGATTTGAAGCCCCTTGCCCTTGGGGGCAGAGGTCACTCTTTGTTGATTTTCTCTCTCCCCTCCCTTCAAAAAAGAAAACATGAGGACATATTCAATCCAAATTACATTTCAAGATTCCCACTGCACGATCAAGAATTTTTTTTCTCTCCTTTATTTAAGAAAGACAACTCATGATCCATAAAGATGCAGACATGAACTCAAGCATTCATTAGGGAATCAAAATGTTGCACGATGGAATTCAAGGAGCTACTACAAGCCATAAGACCTTTAATTCTAGTTGTCATAAGAAACTATATGGGGATTGTCTACTAAAATAAAGAATTCGAGGTCTGGTGGTTCAAAAAAATCGGTTCTTGGTTCTTTCTTCACAGCTTAAATATTTAGGTCGACTGGATTGTTGACTGAAACAAAAGAATACCAATGGTGGAAATATTTTGGCATAAGTGGAACGATGAACAAATTAAGATACTGAGACATGGAAATAAACTTACATTTTAACATCAGTAAAATAATCACCAAATGTTGCAACCAAGTACTCAGTTACTTGCCCCTCGCTCCACTCTGGCATATGCAAAAAAGAAGGCAACATTTCTAGTTAAAACAATTAGCTGAGTTACAAGAACATGTGCTTGCAAAGATAGGATAGAAAACATGGTAACTTGTTTGTAAAAAATTTAAATGTAACATTGTTACATGCAACATGTAAAGACATCCTATAAAGAAACCCATACCCTGATATCAGTAGGTATATAGCAAGCGATAGAAAGGGAACTTGGAATTGATTACAAATTAAGCCCTTGCAGCAGCCTTTTCCAATGATATCTTAAAGTTCAAGATAATGGCATTTTTTATACCCAATAATTATTAAGAGAATAAGAATACAGAGCTGAAGGACCAGGAAACACCCCTAAAGCGCAAAGAAACGGAGAGGGTATAGATGTCTGGTTTTATCAGATATTCCATTGGACCTTCTCTACAACATAGGACTATTACATTAATTACATTAAATATTATAAGAACAATAAAAGGTCAGTAGCTAATGGGTAAAGGTACTCAACCTGTCTGGTATAGCTTCACTAACAACTCCTGAACACCGGGATCTTCAAAAATCACACACACAGTTTGATGCACAGCTTCCTATAATCAAAAAATTTATATTATAACAGTTTAACCTTTTCCATATAACTGATTTCATCAAACTAAGAACCCAGACAATTAAGATAAACATGTTATCAATCTGTCAAACTGACTAAGAACAGACAAGAACATATATTATAATTTAAGGAAATCACATATTGAACTAATAATCATAAAATCCATCATGCTGAATTCAGCTGATTAAAATGATGAGGATTCAATGAACATCCACAGAGAAAGTATTAGACTAACACATTTGTAGACATTCTTATACCTTAGCAACATCTAGAAACCCCTTGCAGGTGTCTTCAAAATTAACCTGTAATGAAATGGCAAATCTGAAGATATCAAACAAGAAAAAAAATGAAAAACTTCACTACATCCGATATCAAGCTCAACAAACACACAGATTGCTTTTCTTTTCATATAAAAGAACCTATTTAAAGGGGAAAGAGTAAATACATGAGAGGAGGATGAAGTATCCACGGAATTGAAACAAGAACAGAAAAGAATAGAGCGACTTTCTTAAAAACACTAGAATGGAACACCAGAGGCCACAAAAGTTATTCCATTCCATTCCACAAAAGTAATCCTTGTGAAAAGAGCATTCCTTACTGACCACATGTTCCAAATCACAGCAAATTTAGAGGTGAGGATTAAACAATCAAGTCATCACGCAAATCTATATGATTTTGATCATCCATAAGTTAAACAATGTCCCAATGCAAGTCCTTGTTCAAGAATTAGAACTACTGGATCTAATCATGATATAAAATGAGAAGACAGCAAATATATTCGAGACATACTTTGAACTAACATTTAACAAAGGCCAGACATGGAATATTAGGAATAAACAAAAATAAATAAATAAATAAAATCCTATAGATGAGCATGGTCTTAAAACAATTTCATAACAATCTCTATAGCATTTCCTTCAGAGAGGAAAAAGAGTAAAAACCAATAACTACTTATTTATTTTAAGATAAAGGACAGAATAGGACAAATAGTAAGAATAACGTGCATACACAACTACAGATAGATGCTGCTTAAAAAGGGTTGGGGGCAAAAAGCCCCAGTGAACTCTAGTAAAACGAGAAATAAGCATACTAATATCCTCAAAAAGTATACTCTGAAAAGATCGTCATTTTTTGTTTTTACGATTTTATGTGCCTCCGTTTGCGGTTTAGTATTGACAAGGCTAGGATGGCAATTAAACTATCAAAAACAAACTCTGGCACTGGTGGTGTTATTACATATACACTTGGTTTGGTCCAATTTTGGGATCAGATTGGAAAAAATATAAAGAATGTTATTGCCTCTGGGCCTTCAGCATTTATTGACCATCCAAAATTTTCTTCAGAATGAAATAAATCATGATTCTTAAAACCAATTTTGAGAATTCCTAATAATAAGGCACCGGGAAATAGTGGGAACCCAATGCAGGAAAAATCAACAATCAACAAGGAAGAATGATATAAACATGAATTTGGTAAACTGCAATAACACAGAGCATGTCAATCATGCAACAGTTAACAAATAAATAAACTAGCCAGAACAAACACAAGAACCAAGCTCCAAACCTGCTCAGCAAAATTTTGTGGAAGAGCTTCGATGGTGCTATTACTCAGCTCCATTGCAAGATCATAGCAGCGCAAGTTGTTGTTTATCTAAATACAACGTTCCACAGAATCTCATGTTAACAAAAGCGCCTAAGCAATGCATTATTGAAGAAATATATTGATAGCCTAACACTAAAAGAGGTGCACTAACCATGGCACATAAAGGCTCAAGACCAATTTCAGATGCAGGTTCTTCAAGTCCCTTCCTTTCAGCTGCTTGAAAATCGATCATCACCTGTAAAATTACAGAGTGTCAAAACCAGGATATTATTGTAAGAATGAATAGATTTTATCATGTTCCACCACTAGAAAAATTTATTTGCAATGTCTTGTCTAACTATCACTTTTCACGAAGAGTTTGGATGCCAAGGTAAATTACCTGAATGGTTGCCAGGGCAATTCTGTATAACATGACATCAGTACTATTATCTCGAACAATTTGTACTTGTTCCCCAAGTATCCTGAACAGATCAACAGCTGCTGGGGTATATAGCTTTCCGTCTTCTGTTTTCTTTGGGGGCTGCGTTTTATCAGCCTCCAATATATTCATGTACCATTTCTAAAAAGCCACATGAACAAAAGCATGATATTAGGTAAGACAAAAAAGAGATCCAAGGAAGAATACCAAATAATAGTCAAACAGATAAGGTGGCTAAGAAGTACCCTTGTTGTAGCTTGCATTCTTTCAACATATGAGTTCATTAGAGGATCCATGGCACCACTTTCAGAACAAACTTGAGCCAGAGTCTCGTCAACACCTAACCCAATCAGGGTATCTTGATATTCAACAACCCAACTGGTCACCTACTAGATAACCGAAAAATTAGGAAATTGTAACACCTAAAAGTTACACCAGATATTGAGGAGGCAAAGACCGAAAAATTCCCAAAAAAGGGAAAAGCTTATAAAATAAAATAACTATTTGTTACTTCAATCAACAAATGCAGAGAAATCATGGGTCTAAAAGACAAGTCATGAAAACATTTGTAACTCAAAAAAGTTGAAACTGAGGACAAGAAAATTATAACATTCATCAAGAAATGAACGGGTGAACATCAACAAGATAATCCGTAAGTTATCTACTAATGCATATAAGAGTCTCTAAACCTTTTTACGTTAAAAATATCTATAATTTTTTTGGTTTTCTTTGGAAACTATCAACTGACACTTCCCATTAATATTCCAGCAGCAAGGAGCTTAACATCACCTAAGATGCATGCCTATGAAGCTAGGATGATTTGAATGATGCATAACCACTAGAGGATTTGATACCACGAAGAATTTGAGGGAGTATGAGAAAGTATGAGGGAAAAGTAGTCAGTAAGTACTGATCTACCAGGCCTTTTCATTTATAGATATATACAGGACAAGAATTAATGGCAAATAATTACCAAAAAAATCTGCCTCATCATGGTCTAATCAGCCGTAATCAAATACAATCTTAACAGTAACATATCAACATAATCCTCAACATCAAGACATGTCAGGATATCTTAAGATATTTCCAAATCTGGTACATCTAATAGGATAAACTAAATCTGAAAATAACATTCCACATTTAGACCAAATAAAATCAGACCAGTCAAGTCTTTATGACCTGATTTTCAGCATCAGTCTCATTATCTTTTCTTTCCTTATCTTTTATTGCTGAGCTGTTTGTATTTAAGTCTCCCTTCATGTGTTATTTTTATTTCCCTTTTGGTTCTTCCCAGATTGTCGCTCTGGGCACAGATTTCGGAGCTTTCTACTTTGCTTGTACTTAGAATTTCAATCAATAGAATTAGCTTTTTCATAAAATTCTTCAGCATTCAATTATAATATGATTTCACTTGTATGATATAGATTCATCATATACTAGTAGGAGAGGCATCACTTTCAGGGTTACAAAATAAGTATCCCATTCCTACATTATTTTGCAACTGCAAGGGATCTGCAGGTTTGGATTTGTCCTGGGCGGCAAAAAAAAGCTCAGCTGGCTCACTTTGGTAAAGAGAAAATATGGTATTGTATGAGATAACAATCAACATCAACGACACTCTGCTTACCTTTAATATCTCAATGTTTGTTAAATTATTTGCCCTGTCACTGAGCAGCCTTAGCATCTGAGTAAATCTTTCTGTGTACAGATTTACCATTAGCTGAAATATTTCGTATCTGCCAGCAAAGGAAACTGAATGAGAGCAAATTAAACATGTAAATAAAGAAAATTTATAATAAAAAATGCACCTTTAATTGTAGTAAAACATGTAGATCATCCTCATATACAGGAACACATCCGAGGCACACTTTTATGACCCATAATAACCGTACACACACTCACACATACACACAGAGATATGTGTACATGTGATCCTCTATGAGTAGCAAATTAATTAAATAAAAAAATAGAGAGAACTTTTTTTTTTTTTTTTTAAAAAAAGCGCTATTAACATATAGAAGGCAGAAAATCCTTTGAGACAAAAGATACTACAGCAGGAACCATACCCAAATAATATCTCAAGAGATTGATATGTTAACAGAAAAGCTGTAGAAAATGAGGAAAAATAGAAAACATGGTATACTCGGAAATAGAGCGAACCTCGGAGGAAAGCAAGGGGCTACATAGTCATAGACATCTCCAAGTTCCTCTTGAATCTGTATGACTTGAAAAGGTTCCATTAGTAAGGGACATAAATAGGAGATTCGATGATGTTGAACAAATACGGGAAACAAATGCCAAATTCTGATTTTCTCTATCAATAACAAAGCATTTTTGTATAATATACTTTTTAAAGTCAAATGGTACAAGGGATGCCAAATTCTGATTTTCTCTATCAATAACAAAACATTTTTCTATAATATACTTTTTAAAGTCAAATGGTACAAGGGTGTGAATTGAATGATGGATCAGGAGAAGGCTCCAAGTCTTGATGGTTTCAATGCGACCTTTTCCATGCTTGATCCTTCGTGAATGATGATCCAACAAAGGATTTTATGATTTTTCTTTTTATTTATAGTAACTACTTGCATAAAGCTTCATGCATGACTTTAAAACCTATTAGAATGATGTCTTGAGATTACAAGATCACAACCGAGGTGCTTGCCTTGAGGGTGGGGGAGGATGGTGGGATTCTACCTGTGAGAATCAAAATGCTTCAAGATTACGCATTTTAGCAGACTATGTGGTGATGGACATTGTTAGATTCCTCTATCATAACAGCGGGCCTTTTAACAGCTTATGCTTTCATCAGGATTGCATGTAATTGTAAAAATCCAATTTCCTTCATAACTTTATTGACTGATTACTTTATTGATTTATCTTTGCAACAAACCTTGCCACTCATAACTTTTATAAATTATAATGCAGAACTGTCATGGATAGAATCTTTGAATTACCTCACATAGAAACTCGGATATATTTGTAGTTTGTACTATTCAAAAATAAAAGAAGTTTACATTATTTCCATGCAGATGTCACATGTTAATTAATTAACAGTCTCCAAGAGAAAGAATATGGGGAGCAAAAATAAAATGCTATTAAAGCTTGAAAAAGTGATGCCCATACCTTTCGTGCTTCCTCTAGAGCTGCTTTCAGGTCCTCAAAGACAAGCTGATTCATAAATTAGATTGGCAGTGAGTTGCATACAGGGCTATGCATGTGTGTCAATCTAAGAGCTTGGGTATATAAGCGTGCGTGTGGGAGCATCAGAGCATGTAGTGCAAAAAATGAGGTACCTCAGTGAGAAGTTTGTTAAACCGTTCCTCTACAGTCTTCCGTATTTGTTCATAGCACTTATCCTTGTAGCCTTTCCCCTGAACCTTTAGTTTTTGCTGTGTTAAATTTTTTATACTGGCAGATTTTCTGTGATTCATCATTAACAACAGAATCTTAGTGGTTTCAAAGTAAAAACTGCACCCTTTATAGTAAAGATATCATCATGTTGAGAACAAGACACTCAAAATCAAAGGATGACATGACAGTTAGATATAGTGGTGTTAACTCCAGAGTTTCTTCAGAAGCCTTCTGATTGTTTTGATGGTAACACGCCTCAGCACATAAATTAAAAGCTTAAAGATCCCTGAAGCACACTGAAATCAACAATAGATGCTAACAGAACTTGGTTCTAAGGCAGCACTGATTTGGAAATTAAATACCAAATCCAACTTTGATGTGCTAATGTTAAAAAAATGATCGCAAAAACAAAGAATTCTTCCAGGTTAATGTTCAATGGATAGGATTAGGATCAATAAAATAAGGACTTCTTGTCACCCAGAAAAAAAAAAAAATTGAAATACTTCCACCAAATCACAAGTAAATGAAATTTAATGAACAAGTGAAAGAGCAGATGTCAACAGTACAGTATAAGAGAATTCATAACAAAAGTGCACTCCATTGTAACCAGAAGAATTCAGATTTAATAAGGCAAGCTCAGAATCTGAAGTAACCAAAAAATATTAACTGAAACCTGTCACCCTGCACTCAAAGTTGGATTAAATAATGCAGCGGCTAGTTTGGGTTCCTTTATGATCTCCAACAATCATGTCATCTCCAAAAAAAGTATGAGCTTCATAGCAGATCAGAGACGCATCCAATTCTAATGAGCATAGTAATCTTATCTTGCTTTCTTTCATTGGTTTCTTAATCCCACTCTAGCCAATTCATTAGGAAACCTTTGAAGTTTTGTCTGGGATTATATTCGCGGTTTTAGTGTTAGATTGAGGTTAACGCAAAACCTATCCTATTAGAGGGTATCTTTCTTCCATTTTACGTTATCATGATGTTTCCCCCTTTGTGTTAGAAAGGGTAGTTAATGATTCATTGGTGTGAACGATGGATAGATGTTTTACGTGAGCATCACAAACCATCTTGCATCCATGCTCATGTGCTTGTGACCTGGTTTTGTTAGTTAGAATTGCTGTCTTATCTGTTGTCTTAAAAAGTTGAAAAAGTGCACCACACAATTCAAACCCCGTTCTTTGTGCATCTGTATGTAACAATCGGAAGATATAATACATATAATGGTAAATCAATTCTAAATAATGGAAGTTATTTTATCAATAAGAAAATGTAAGTTACTTGGCAGTTTTCCGTGGATTTGCAATTGATTCCATTACACCATCCCCCTCAGCTTCAGCTGCTTCCTCTGCAATCTGTTGATCAAGGATTTCTTGCATCTCAACAACCCTGGAGCCAGATTGACAAAGATAAAAAGAAGATTATGTTAATCTGAAGAGTACAATGATAATATAACCACATGTTCCATGCCCACAGATATTCATAAGGAAGTCCAACACTAAAAAGCAAAACTATGACTTTTATCAAGCAATGCCAACTTTTTTTTAAAAAAATGAAATTAACTTGTTTAACTCAGCTGCAGCTGGGCGTGTAGTAAAATTAGCAAAACTCTTTGGATAGCAACGATTTTCAAATTAAGTAATAAACAGGATATGAAATTGGTTAGCCTTCATTGTTTTGAACCCATTCTTGGTGTCAAAAAAAAAAAAAATCCTATTACCCAATTATTTCTTCAGCTACAGTAATATCATCCCATTCTGAAAATAATATCTTCAACAAGAAATTGGAAGACTTAAATCGCTTTTTGAATATCTTGATCAAACTTCAAGTGTCACATGCAAACCTCAGGTTAAATTCCCTCTCCATATGCTCTGCTTGCTTCTAATTTGGTTTGTTGAACATGTGTCATTCACTCCAGAGCCAAAGCCACACATAAATTCCTTACGTACAAACAATGTCTTGGTAATAGGAAAATCATTGCTGCTCATGGATCCTGGGCCAATGTCACAGGGGAAGGAAACATTCTTTTGGAACAATTCATAACCACTAAAAATTTTTTACTTATAGTCTCCCGACTTTTGTTTTCTTGATCAAATTATGAGAACGATAAGGAAAGACATCGACTATGCTATCTTGCACTTCCTATGAAACTCCTTTCAACTCTTCTTACCATAAAGTTTAAAAACAGGCATCAAAGAGTCTTCATTGAAGGCAAGAAGTTTACAGTACAATCATACAGAGGATGTGCTAGAAATTTATGAACGAACTGTTAACAAACATAATTGAGTTTTGATGGCAACATGGAACTGCACTAAAACACAGTCAAGCCATTTAACAAACAATTCAACAGTGGAAAAAAGACAGAAAAATAGAAAAGTAAATGTAACTGTGAGCAAATAACATACCTTATAGCACGAACTAGAGTTTGAGGGCTGCAAAGGGAAAAAGGAAAAGAATTATGCATATTATTGCAATCAAAGCGCACGGATTCATGTTTGCCAATGTAATGCAGCCAAGTTTGTTGCTAATGAAATAAAAATCAAACCCACCAAATTGCCATTCCTATATCTTTATTCTCGCACTAATCCTTACCAAGCACACAGCTGCTTCTGGTTTATATTAAAATAGTGATCCTACTATTTGGGATGTTTATTATAATAATGACATCTTATCTTAATGAAAACATAAGGAAAAAAAATGCATTAACATCTCATGATTCTAGACAAAGTTGACAAAACCCTTGGAACTCTCTAGCTTGAGCTAGGGCTCATTCATACAAATCCCAAAACTAAGTAAGCCTTTGAAAATTGGCCAAAAATAAGGTTCTTGAAGGCTTGAACTAAAGCACAAATGACTCAAAGCTGTAACAACCTTGAAATCAATAAAAAATCATAATTTGATTTCAAATCTTGAAGAGTACTCAATTCGTAGAAGTTGAGTCAGAACAAATACAAAGTGATTGCAAGGGAAAAAATTGGCAATTCTGGTAATTATTTAATATTAAAAATGACACAAACCCATCACAAAAAAATCCAAAATAAAAAAGGCACAAACCTTTCTTTAGAAAGTTTGTAGAAATTGGAAATATGGCCCCATAATGTCTTCTCAAAGGTCTCCCAGGTTCGATCCACATCTTCAAAATATTCTCTGAGACATGTACCAATATTAAGATGAGAAAAATATATTCCTGTGTTGAAACAAATGCAATGAACATGAGGGGAGCAACATCATTCATCAATGGTCTTAGCCATTTCATCATCATCTGAATAGTCACTTCCAAGTTCTGAACGCACATGAGAAAGTTCAAATAACTTCATGATTGCACTTGATCCATGATCTCAATGAACGCTCATGTTTCACAAAACCAAAACCAACACCATGTTGCCTTAGAACATTATCAACTACTGACACACTTGATCAATAAGTAATTTCCATAAATTCATAGCAAGTTGATAATTTCATTTCAACAAGCCAGTCATCCTCACATATTTACAACATATGATACCCATTAGGAGATGAAGGGCTTTCAAGGTTGGTCTTCGACTCCAAGTGCTAATGGGATAACTATTCCTAGTCTCAATACCATACGAGTGTAATCAGGTTTCCACGATCCATACAATACAATCAACCATTAGTCAAATGGAGCTCTTATTCAAGTTGTTATTAGTCAACAAACTTGTATATTGGCTAAGCTCATTATTGTTGGAGCCACAGATCATTTGTCTGAGCAGAAGTTGGATTCGATGAGCTAATTGAGTTCTGTACAAGTTGACCATTGAGTTCATTGTAAGCTGATTTCAAAGTTCATTGTCATCAATGTAGCTGCCCAAGTTACAAATCCTTTCTTGTCCTTGTTAAGCTGCAGAGTTGCCATTACCATATATATATATATGCATTTATTTGTTAAATTCATCTTCTGTGAAAATTGCACCAAGAAAAAGTTCAGTGAACTTCATCTTGAGGGGAACAATGAAAAACCTATGGTACTATTTCCTAGTTAGGTGTCACAGAGTTTCACAGGACCAAAAAAACCATTATTTTATGGTACCAAAAGCCTTGACATTATTATCTTCGGGATTGTAAACATGTTATCCTCGAGACAATCATCACTTAACATTTGGAGATCAGGATATTTGATATCAATTATGTAGTTTATCTTCATTTTTCTGCATTTATAATTATTTTCACTAATATTATAGATGAAAGTAGGAGGCAGTCATTAAGAGCAAGTCTTCGTCTCTTGGTTTTGGCTCATAAAATTAATGTTTCAATGGCAGAAAAACCCCGAGGGATCACCTAAATACATATACAGCCATTTGATAGAACTAGTGGGCCACAACATAATGATATGATGGGAGACTAATAGCATAGTGAAATCATTTCAAAAAACGAAGATTTAAGAAGTGCAAACCTCAATCTGCCAACCTCTTCCTTGTGAGAACCTGCAGCTGCTAATGCAAACCTCCGCTTCCCATCCAAGGCAGTTAACCTCTGTGACAGTAAAAGATTTAGGGGTTGGATAAGATTTCAAAAGCACTTGTTGTTAACCATAATAATTAACCATAGTATAAGCAAGACCAACATTACCTCATACGTATTTACAAGTTCTTTGTCATCACTCAGAGAATCCCGAGCTTCTGCTGCCTCACCAGAGATGGACATCATACCTTCAATATCCTATTAGAGGACAAAGAAGTTGAATGGTCAAAATAATATGAAGAAGGATAAGCTTACAAAAATGATGTGATGGATCTGGCCAAAACCAGGTTGAAACGAAAATCAGGACATATCATCAACAATCTACTGCTTGATAGCTGTGTAAATTATTAACTTATCGTAACAACCAAATACAATATTAATAGTTGATACAACACAAGAAGCACTGCAGTGTAAGCGTGGGATTGCAACTTCACTTTAACCACGGTTCACCAAGAGAAACCAAGCAAAAAACTCATGCAGAGCAGTGGAAAGGATGATTATGATATCAACTATGAGGACAATGTAATGATTTACAATTCAATCATGATAAATAGTTTCATTAACAAGGAAAAGAAAACAACCTTCAAGGTTGTGTTTAGATTATTTCTTGCATTGCTAAGTAGCTTTATCTGGTCATGATTTTCAATTAATGTTTGGCATTCCTGACAAAACCTGATTCACACAAAAAAAAAGTACATTATGCTCAAAGTAATCGAGATTGCAAGACTAAACAAGCACTCAAAGAGATCATAAATATGTTAGTCCATCTCATTGTTTACGTACTTTTCAATAGAGACAAAATTTTCACGAAGTCGGTTTATTGTCTTTTGAGATGAGTTAAGTGATTCCAATCCGGCCTGTGCTTGCTCAACCTGCAGTCAAGAGTATTCAGGACAAAGTGACGGAAGACATAACAGTTCCAGAGTATTAACAGAAAGTGCAGAATGCATCATATGCATATTCTACGGTAAAGATATAATGCTGATACAACAATCTCGAAAGTTCATATAATATATGCCTTCTATTATTGCGGTAGAGGACATGTGAACATCCCTTTTATGCGCTGAATTTTTAACGTAGTGGAACGGGATCAGTCAGAATACGAAATTCCGGCGTCTCCCTTTTAGAATTCTTCAACGCTAATTACCTGCTCTGCCACCATTGTACTAAGCTGTGCATCATTAGCCTGTAAATAAAGCAAAATAGCAACAATCAGAACTAGCAACCCCAAAAATCACACTCGTACATGGATCTCCCTTCCATACCACAAAAAGAGTTTGCTGCCTCAAGATTTTTTTTCATTTCTTTAAACGACATTGCCCAATTCCAAGTAGTTGAAAAAGATGGATAAGAAAGAAATTGGGTAAAACTATCAGCGACATACAAATGCAAATAGAGTCCATCACCATAATACACCTTGTTACATCTAAATTACCTCATTATTGATGAATAACAAATATGGCTCACCAAAATGGTCATCAAAAGCGAATTGCAGCAACCCATCAAAGACAATAAATTGAATTCGACTAGTACCTGTTGACGTGAAATGTAATCGGCCTTGATAGATGAGATGGACTGCAGAAGCTCAGGAAGCGGCAAAAGCTTTGCAACCTCGCGAACTGCTGCTTCCTTAGCTTCAACTCCAAGATCCTCAACCATCATTTGGTCGTCACTATTCAATAACCACCCACGTTAAATACACGAGAAAATCGAGTTTATATGCAAAATCCTCTTATCATTCTCCGACAGGCTCAGCAACCGATACAAACAGAATCCAAATTCAACTTAAACCGAGTTGAATTTTACGCAAACGAACAGAATAGAGCCTTAAAAAGCATGAATTTGTTGTACAACTGGAGCAAAAGAGACTTTGGAGGATGATGAATTTGGAAGAATATCTTGGCAAAGAAAGAGAGAAAGAGATCCCACTTGCTGGAAAAAGGTAATTGATGATCCACGACCCTCTTGCACTCTTGGGAGGGGAGAGGAGAGGGATGAGGTAGTATTATGCAAAAAGTAAAAACTCATGTTGGCTAAAATAAAAAGAAAAATGGATTCCAGAGATTCAAAAGAAAGATGTCTGACTGGTTGCATCATGCTCCTAACAAGTATGGTAGGTTCGAGAAGGCATTTGCGCCATGAGGAGGAGTTAAAACCAAAAAAAGAAAAAGAAAAAAAAAGGTTATCTTTCATGTGACGAACAAGTTAAGCCAGCCAAGCTTAGAAATTTGTTGTTCCAGGATATGATAATAGAAAAATAACCACTCCCATGTTATAATCTCACTTTCGACAACTAGATTTTTTTTCTTTTTTGGATATGAGATTCAAAGTTTCCATCAAATCAGTATAAAGCTTGCCCTTTTTGGCAATGGCCTGTCCATCAAGGCTTTAAAATCATTTAAGCATCCTTTAGCTTCCACCACCATGTACTTAAAACGAAGCCCAGCTATGCGGCAAAACATTGAATCCGTTTTTAATTGCTAAATCACAAACCAAACATTCACAGAATAAAATTCCATTTAAAAAGAGAACAATTTAATTAACTCAACCCTCCCTCGCCCCCGGGGGGAAAAGTATATTAGTGGAAAATGGTGAAATCTAGCACGTAGGAGGGATCATCGCTCATGTTTGTTGAAGGAATCTTACTGCCACGAATCAAAGAATCCAACATTTCAACGTAATTGAGGGGATAGTGGGATTAAAAACAAACCAGACGCGTGTGACGTCTGAATGGAGAACTAATTCCTATTCTAAGGCTATGTTTTTGTGTACTGATATCTAGTTGAGTTTAGAACAAAGGAGAAACCAACATCAGAGAGAATCCATGAAACACCAGCCAAACTAACAAAAACTCGACAAAACTTCGTGGTTGCAATGGAATAATCAACCAGCTTATTGGAGTTTCGAGGGAGAGGAAGAATAAGAAGAAAATCATCACCTACACTGTGTTTTCCTCTTCAATTGCATTAAAACCCGGAAAACAACAGATAAAATAAACTTTGAAAAAAAATATAGAAAGATTAATGAAGCTGCTGGACCATCGTACCACTTGTTATGGTTATTTTATCAAAGTTAAAGTTGCAGCCTTTCAATGAATCTATACTGATGATATAAAATTAATTGAGTTGAAGGCGGAAAGAAAATGAAGTTAATTTGGAGAGTGATAGGGGACTTCTGAAGAGAGAAGATAAGATAATTAGAATTAAGAAGTAGATAATGATAAGTGAGATGGAGTAATTTATAAATAATTTTTTAGCTCTCTCTTTTGCAAAGTCCAGGTTGCAACTCACCATGCATGAAAAGTTCCAACTTCTCATGATGTTTGCAGATGATTTAGTGCTGTTTGCTGAGGCTACTAACCCACAGATTGAAATTATTTTAGACTGCTTGCAGGTATTCGGTGACATGTCTGGGCATAAGATCAGCAAGGAAAAAACATACATATATTTTTCTCCAAATGTGGATCAACATTTGAGGAAGGAGATTTGCAGAAGAAGTCAATTTCATCAAGTTGAAGATCTGGGAAGGTATCTAGGAGCTAATATCACATTCTCGAGGAAGTGAAAAGAGAAATTTAAAGTAATTGTTGAGAGAGTTAAGTAGAGACTTCCAGGATGGAAAGCAAGAAGTTTGTCGCTAGGCGGCAGAATGACATCAGTGAAAGCTGTTACAGGTAACATGGCCATCTACCCTATGCAGCATGATAGGCTACCACAGGAGATCATTGATGATATAGAGAGAGTTCAACGTCAGTTCATATGGGGAGAGCAGGATGGTAAGAAAAGATGGCATGCAGTATCTTGGCAAACCTTGTGTAAATCAAAGGAGGAAGGTGGAATAGGAATTAAATCCTTGAAGCAGATGAATGATGCTTTCTTGATGAAATTGTTATGGAGAATGATACAAAAACCCAATGATTTATGGGTTAAAGTACTAGAAGGAAAATATATGAGAGAAGACAATGAGGAGAGAAGGTTGCAAGCTAAAGCAAGTGATTCTAAACTTTGGAAAGAGATGATGAAGGTTGTGGAGGATTTCAGGAAAAACATTGAAGTGGAACAAAATCGAGGAGAATATGCCTACAGATGGAAATTAAATAATAATGGTGAGTTTACAATAGCTAGTGCTTATAAATGGTTGACGAAGGAAAGTGGGAACAAGGAGTGTCAAGAATGGCGAAGAATATGGAAACTCAGAGTTCCTGAAAGAGTGCGGGTATTTGTGTGGCAAATGTGTCATAAACGTCTTCTAACCAATAGACAAGTGGGAAAATGGAGTGGTAAGTCAATGTACTGTCACATTTGCAACGCGTCGGAAGAAGATATACTGCATGCGCTTAGAGACTGTCCTTATGCAGCTGGAATCTGGAAGAATTTCCTAAAGTATGGAAGACGAAAGCAGTTTTTTTATGCGAACTGGAATCAATGGATAAGACTAAACCTGAACTGGAGAACGCAAGTGGAAGAAGAGATAAGGTGGCCAGAACGTTTTGCGGCGACTTGCTGGTTTATATGGAGATGGAGAAACACACTGATACATGAACATAATTTTAAAGCACCTTGGAATGAGACGACCATAATTAATGACTATCTCCAGAGCTTTGATATGAAATGGAATCGACAGAGAAGGAGAAGGGACAAGGAAGAGCAACTAAAATAAGTTGGAAACCTCCTGCATAGGGATGGTGTAAACTTAATACGGACGGCATGTTCTGTGGTAGCAACACTACGGGATGTGGTGGAGTTATAAGAGGAGATCGAGGAGAATGGCTCAAAGGATACACGAAGAGACTATCAGGAGGAAATGCATATACTGCAGAAGCATGGGGAATCATTGAAGGCTTGGAGATATGCTGGCTAATGGGGTTCAAGCAAGTTGAAGTCAAATGTGACTCAGTTGAACTTGTGCAGCAAATTGTTCAAACAGGAAGACTAGGAGGATACCCAGACTTGTCAGGAAGAATAGAAGGTTTTCTACTACGAGAGTGGCAAGTGAAGTTTATGTGTACGCTTAGAGAAGGAAATAGATGTGCAGACCAATTGGCAAAGCTCTGTCTTAGATATGGGACAGACAGGATGATGTGGACGACACCGCCAGAGGAGCTACTACAAATTGTGGAAGAAGATGCTGCTGGAGTTAGTATCCCGAGAGGGTTGTTAGTGTAGTGACTTAGTCACCTTTTGTTCACCAAAAAAAAAAGTTCCAACTTCCATCACATAATTTTCCCCACTTAAAACTTCACAGCAATTTTGGGCCGAAAAACAGACTTCCCAGTTCTCACCAATTACATTATCCAAAAGCCCACGGTATGGCTTCCTCATTGGGCTTCGTCTCTCTGTGAATTTTGTTTCCAATTGGGCCTCAATCTTTTGACCTGAATTTGGGCCTCAATTCAAACTTTGCGTTACCATCACTCCTGGCCCCGCAAATCTCCTCATTATTTGATGTCTGATTACCCCAGGGAAAAGGGGGGAAATGTATTTTTGTAAAGGTGCAATTAAACTAATTAAATATTATATTATATACTCTAAGTCTCAAATATAACTCATTTATTCCTCTAAACTGCATACAAAATTTTAGTTTTTGTAATTTAATTTTATAAAATATTTTTTGAAGTCCTTTAACATCGTAGTCTCAAAGGATATGTTTTTGTGACAATTATTGTTATATTGAAAAATTAGAATTAAGATATCAATATATATAAATATTTTGTCAATATATAAAATTTTATTTTCAGCCCTTTTTGTTAACAAAACTGTTAGCAGAGAACTAAACATGTACGCTTGCTTGCATGCTATATATCATGTATTGATGTTGATGTTTTGTTCATCGCAACCAATAATCAATATTCTATTTAAACACAGCTCCAAAAAAAAAAATCTATTTAAACAATGCCCCATGGATTTCGCTCTTAATCTGCACTTCTGATCCGGAATCTCTTTCAATAAATCAACTATCTTCATCTTGTTATGGCCAATAGACACTTTCCGTTGCGTTATTTTCTTTTCCACGCTGAAATTGATATCTCCTTTACTATTAAGACGTCCCTTAACGATAGATGGCGTAAATAAAGAGGCACGCCGTTTTGGTTTTAAGAGATTAGGTTATATTATATTATAGGAAAAATTACACTCAGGCCTCACAGAAGATAATTAATTTTAAGAAAGTCCCTAGAAATTCCAAAATAATTCTGAAATCCCCAGTGACCTGTGTGTAATTAATTATAATTATGAAATTGTTTATTTATTCCCATTAATTTTATTACAGTAATTCATTTACAACCTCAACAGTGGCTGTTGACAACCTGAGCAAAAGTGGTTGACAACCTTGGCAGTGCTCCTGACAACTCACTCTGTGGGATGCCAGGGGCATTGCCAAGGTTGTTAACCACCTCTTCTCAGATTGTCAACAGCCACTGTTGAGGCTGTCAATGAATTACATTGGGTTCAAATTAATGGAAGTAAATAGGTAATTTCACAATTATAATTAATTACACATGTCCCTGAGGACTTAGGAATCATTTCGGGATTTTTTTAAAATTAATTATTTTTTATGAGACTTGAATGTAATTTTCTCTATATTATATATGGATTGAATCGTGCTGGGAGGGGCAGCAACAATCATCAGGTTTTTCGACTCTTATTCATTTATCTTTTTTTTCCTCCATCAACCATAAGCCGCCACCTCCGTCGCAGGCCCATATCATCCGCGACCCATCTTCCATGTCCACCAACATCATCATTTCTAATGGCTGCTGAATTTTTGGGACGTGTTGTGACTGAGTTCAAAGCTATGGGAGACTGAGTTTGTGGTGCTCCGTGAGATTGAATTCAGTGGCTTGAGTTTTGGAGCCATAAAAGAGAGTTTAATTCTAGTCCTTAGTTTAGATTATTTTATTGATAATTTCTGGTATGAAATTTGTTG